AGGAGAATCTCACACACTGGACACATTTTCATCTATTTTACATAATTAAATGGAGGCGTGTCAGGGGAGGGGTCTCAGGTGCGCTCAGTTCCACGTTCATTGGGATGTATAAAGGAAAGGTACACAGGAACCTGCGTGCGCACCGTTTTATACATCTGAATTTTGTTGTGYGGAGARCTTTTCTAAATTTGTCCGTACGTCAACTTTTAGTGTGAAAGCTGCGCAATCCTTTATGCATGAGGGCCCAGAGTCTAAATATGGAATTCATTACAGTAATCTAAATGGTAAAGTCATTGCTGACTCGCTCATGACACAAGATAGAGAGAAACAAGTTTTTGTTGCAGCAAGTGATGTAGCTGCATTTCGTGCGTCCAGTTTCGCAAAACCTTAGCTTATTTGTRCACAGCTTGCAAAACCACATTCTTGGCCGTAGACCTGATTAAACTGATCCCCTCGTCCTTTTTTAATCTTTAAAAAAATCATCTGTGGTTTTTGAGAGCTAGGTGTTCACATCTGAAGCCTAACATGTTTTCTGTCACAAGGAGAGCTCAGTGCAGGTGTCGAAACACAGCCCTAGCATGCTATAATAATAGAACAACTCTGACTACTTTAGAGAGAAAACATCTCTGACAATAAGAGCTCAGTAAGACACTGCTTTAAATATCTCTTTGAAAAGCTGACAGAACTACAACTTACAGCAGTTTTACAGCTTGAAACTATGAACTTTTTATCTTGAATTGACAAATCTAACATGAAAACATCCTCACAATAAGAAGGGAAAAAAAGACCTGTTAACATTTTTTTGTGCCCAAAAAAACTCTTAGGAAACTAAGACGGTGGGAAACTAAATTTAGCACAAACAGTTAGGCCTGTCACCATAACAAATTTTGCTGGGCGATTAATTGTCTCAACAATTATTGCGATAAGTGATAATATTGCCTGGTGACCGTTTTACAACTAATAATTATAAAAGCGTAATATGTAAGTGTAATAAATCAATAAACTTTTATTTTTTTAAAGAATGTTTAACAAAGTGGACTCTCAGTCTCTAACAAAAAATGCACTTGAATAAAAAACAAAAACAAAGAACAACAAAATGTAAATTAAACACCGCACACAACTAAGACAGTAAATAAACAATATTAAAGAGCAGCATCTCTTTAGAGATTAAGCAAACTACACAGCCTGGTGAGGACCCACTGTTTCTTATGGGGACAT